GGATGTGTCTCAGCGTGGATTTATTTTGGGTTTATCCTTTTGGGGGCTTGCTCATTTTTTGAATCTATAGGTTTATGTCCCTTGCCAAATTTGGAAGTTTGCAGCCATTACTTCTTGAGACTTTTTCAGCCCCACTGTGATACTGTGTATTTATAATAAATATATATTTCCCTTCCCCATTCCCTTTCCTGGCACTGAGCTCCTAAAACCCTTGGAATTTCCTAAGTGATGATAGCAATAAATGTGTCTTTGTTATGTTAATGAATAGACTTTTGGAAAGGCCTAGGTCACCTGAGGATGGGGGCTGTTTGCCAGGGGAGCCAACCACGTGATTAGAGGGTCGGAACTTTCAGTACCCCCAACTCCCCACCTCTGAGGAGGGGAGAGGAGCTGGAGATTGAGTTCAATGGCCAATGATTTAATCTATCACTACGTAATGAAACCTCCATAAGAACACAAAAAGACTGGATTCAGAGAGGTTCCTGTTTGGACCCATAAAGATGTGGGGAGAGTGCCCCATTCAAAAAACATGGGAGCTCTGTGCCCTTTCCCACATACCTTGCCCTATATATGTCTTCTATCTGGCTCTTCCTGAGTTATATCCTATTGTAATAAACTGGTGACCCAGTAAATAAAATGCATCTCTGAGTTCTGGGAGCTGTTCAAGCAAATTAAGGTCATGGTACTCTACAATCTATAGCTATAGGTCCACCAGCACAATGACAACCTGAGCTTATGATGGCACCTGAGCTTATGATTGGCATCTCATGGTCTTGTGAGATTGAGCCTTCAGCCTGAGGTATCTGAGACTAGCTACCTGGAGATAGTTGAATTGTTGGACATCCAGCTGGTATAAGAGAATTTCTTTGTGGCGTGGGGAAAAAGCCCACACTTGGGAATCAATGTCAGAAGTGTACCACCCTCTTTCTTTTCTCCTTCAGAAACTCCAATGATACAAATGTTTTATCTTAGAGTCTTACAGGTCCCTGAGATTCTGTTCATTGTTTTTCAGTCTGTTTTCTCTTTACTGTTGAGATTGAATAATTTCTACTGTTCTATTTTTTAGTTCATTGATTCTTTTCTTTGACCCCTGCAGTCTGCTGTGGAGCCCTTCCACTGAGTTTTCTATTTTAGTTATTGTCCAACAATAAAATTTCCACTTGGTTCTTCTTTATATCTTTTTGGGGGGGGCGGGGGGCTTGCTGGGACTTTCTTTTTTTTTTTTTTTTCATTTGTTTCAGCCATGCTTGTCATTGTTCTTTGAGGCTTTTTCAACATGGCAAATCTTTGTCAGATAATTCTACCATTTCTGTCATCCCAGTGTTGCCTCTCTCATTCCACTTTGATCTTCCAATTCTTGCTATGATGAATGATTTTTCTATCAAAGCCTGGATATCTTCACATGTTATGAGAGTCTGGATCTTGTTTAACCTTGTGTTTTAACCTTATTTAACCTGCTGCAGTATGGAAAGTCAGGGTGCTGCATCATTTGCCAGGGGAAGGTAGAAGTCCACGTTTCCCACTCAACTCCCATTGACACCCAGGGAGGGGGCTCCCCATTACTGCTGGGCAGAGACAGCAATTCCAGCCCCCCAACCACCTGCGGCTCCACTGACAACTCTCTGGGGGTGACCTCAGTTCTGGCAACAGTGAGAGACTGGCTGTCCACTTGGACTCCTCTGAAATCACCCCCTAGTTAGGTACCCTAACTGCCAAGGGAGTGGTGGTCTGGGCTCTCTTGCATGGTCTCCATTGACATGGGGTTGGGGGTTGGTGCAGGGCAGCTCATTGCTTGACCTTCTCTGACACTACCCCAGAAGGGCATGAAGATGCCTCATTATAGCCTCTCAAAAGTTGAAGTCTAGGCTTCCCACACAGCTTCTATTGGTGGGAATGGGGCCACCATTTGTTCCTGTGCTGTTGGCTGGAGGAGAGTGGTGATTGTCCAGAAGTTTTTTATCATGCTAGGCTGCCTCTTTCCTGGTGCTTAGACTAGAGAGAGCAAGTTTTTGTGGGTATTTTTTTGGTACGTGTCTGTTGGCATTTCCAAATGGCCGGCATCTTCAGCTCCAAATCTGGGATAGACAAAGCAAAAAGAAACCCCAGGACACTCACCACTGTGTTCTTCCTCAGGTCCCATGGCTCCCTAGCTGGTCTGCCTTTTCTTTCCACCTTTCAGAGTTTTATCTGCTTTATATGTAATGTCTAGCAGTTTTAGTTGTATTTGTCAGAGGAGTAAAAAAAAAAAAAACAAAAAAACAACACAAAAAAACCTATCTGCTCCATCTTTCCTGAAGCGGAAGCCTTTCAAAAGGCACACTTTGAGAAATGTTCTTTATCATGCTTTGCCACTGTGTTGTGACATGCCAACATGTTTGTAGCACTTTGCTACTTATAGCTGATAAGGTGTCAGGCTTGCAAACGATTTACTCTTTGATATATTAGAGCAGATGCAGGGTTATCCGACCTTCCAGTTAGTTTTTGCAGCCATTTATTTGCCTCGTGGCAGATCAGAAGTTTGGGCTGGGTTCCACTAGGCGCTTCTGTTCTGGATTGCTGCTTTCATGTGTCTGTGGTCTGTTCTGAATCAGCTGAAGCCCACCCCTTGGCTGGGCTCTCCCATATCTGGACGACAGGGCTGACTCGGGGCTGGCATGCATGGTCTTTCATCCTACAGCAAGCTAGCGAGGCCTGTTCATATGGGGGAGTCAGGACAAGGAGAGAGCAAAGATGTACGTGGCCTCTGGGGGTGTAGGCATGGCTCTGGCCCACAGTCACTTTCACCTCACTCTACTGGCCAGAGCAAGGCACAAAGCCAGTTGAGATTCAGCGTGTGGAGGAAATAGACTCCCTTTGTTGATGAAACAGCGAAGTCACTTTATAAAGAATGTGGATTACATGGAGGGGTAGAGAACTGTGGCCAGTTTTTCAGTCTACCATATCCCTATAAAACTGTCTTCTCACTTACATTTTCTAGCATGTTTTCTTGAGCAGGGAAAAAAAACCCTGGCTAGTAATTTCTCATAACCCCTAGATAAATTCATGGGGAAATGTCACATGGATGAGAGTCACTGGTAATAGCAGGAAACAGATAGCCAGTCAGGGTAACTGACCTAAAGTGCAAATCTGATCATGTCACTCATGAACTTAAGACTCTTAAATGACTTCCCAATGTCTACAAAGAATTCCAAACTCAGCATAATACATAAGGCCAGCTGTGAGCTCACCAGCCTCCCTCCCACCTCCTGCTCTGCAGGTTAATATATGGATCTGAACACGGTTCCCTTGCACCTCCTGTGTTATTCCAGATTTTGCCCTACCCTTTGTGCTATTTCTTGTGCCTGTAATACCTTTCCCTGCCTGCTCTTCAACCACCTTCTATGTCTGGCTAGCTTTCCCTCCTCCTTACAGGCTTAGCATATGGGTCATGCCCTTGAGAAGGGCTTCTCTGGCCATCCCCTCCTCACAGCCTGGATTCATTAATTCATCTCTGCTCAAAATGTGCATTGTGCTAATGGTGTACTTATTATACTTAAATTGTCCATTTATAAGTCTGGCTTCCCCAGTAGACTATGAGTTCCTCCAAGAAAGAAAGTACATTCTTATTTAACTTTGTAACTGCAGTTTTTAGCACCGTGCATATAGTGTCGAATAAATAACATAGCAGATGCTGATGGTGCTGCTATCCATATCTCTGGGTCCTTAGCACTTTACTCTGCTCTGGGTGTGACTTCCATCTGTTACTGGCTCACGGCGATTCTAGCTGTTCTTGAAATAATTCACTGTACTTGTTTCTTCAGATAAATAAGAGGTGGGACAAAATATCTTCTTTTGAAGATGACCTAAAAAAAAAGTGATTTTTATATGCCTCATCCAGATAAAAATGAATTTTTAATGATCTGGGTTCAAATCTTCTTCTAATTAGATATTCAGCCTAGACAAAGAACCCAACCTCTCAGTGACTGCCTCTGAAAAATGGAGCTAATATGACTGGGTTGTTGTGAGAATTAAATGCTCTAATCCTTGCAGACTGCCTAAGCACAGAAAGGTTATGGCTAGAAATTTGCATATCTATACATAATCTGAAAAGAGAACTTCGTGGAGGTCACACAGTCAACAATCAAGGGTGTTTGTTGTAAACTTAGGAAAGTGCCCTTGCACAGAGGCATAAAAAGGTTAACTTCTTATATTTTGGAGTGTCCAAGATCCAGTGATCTTTGGCCCTTTGCAAGTTAAAAGGATTGAGTGAAAGGGAGCAATCGATTTCTAGAGATAGGGTTTGGTGGAGTCCCTAAATGAGTGTGTGTTTGTTTGGGGGGAGAGGTGGTTCTGTTTTAAAGAACTGGAAACTTGTCTGCTAAACGCTTTGTAAACAAGCTTTGTTGGATTAGCAGAACCTGCAAAAAATACGACGACTGAAACCAGAACCGCCAGTATGCTCTAGTATGCCATGGTTTTCAACTCTAAGAGCCCCTCATGTGAAACCTCTCCAGGGGGTAAGGGGAATCAGGAGACCTGAGTTCTAGACCTAACTACTCCACTGCCTGGCTGTATGTGACCTTGAACAAGTTCCAACCTCTCTGTTCTCAATTCCCTCACTTATTAAAAGGAAGAGACAATGTGGTCCCTTTCATTCTAATAGCCACAATTTTTGAAGTCTTCCTATCTGCTTTTTCCAGAGCCCACGCCAGCCTCCCTGAGCAACAGGAGCTCCACATTTGTCCCCCAACTTTGGCAAAGATTGTGCTTTTCCCTTATCCAAGGAGGAGTCAGAATTTTCAAAGTAACTAAATGATACTGTGTCTAGTATTGTAGATGAGATTATAGGCTGTGTCTATCCAAAATTACACTGTGGTTTGGGAGAAACTTTCAGGGAAATAAACTTTGGAAGCTGCAGATAAGGAGCTAGTGCTAAGAATGCGAGGGGCAGGATTTCAATGAATAATAAGCATGTTGATTTATAGGTAGCAATCAGCATTAATTATATTTAAGTCCACATCTTTTTGCTATAGCATGAGAGATAGTGATCCTCAGTTCTGATTCAGGATTCAAAATTCCAGAAGATCCCCCACCCCCGTGTACACACAAATTTCGAATTCAGTTGATGTGGGTAGGGTCTACAAGACTTTTGTATCTGGGGAATTCTGAAGTCAGTCGACTTTGAGAACCAATGGATTTAGAGTGCTGACGTGCCTCTCTGCTTCTTCCTTGAGGCAGACACTTCCATCTGCCCATCAAAAGCAAATAACAAAACTGAGAGCCTTTTATCATCTACCTGACTAAATCTAGCTTTCAGTGACTGTCATTACTATTTCCGTCTTACCTAACCCTGGCTTGGCATGTAACAGACAAAGTTAGTATTTATACTGTTTACAAAACAGGTCAATAAGCACTGGAACCATGGCACACAATTGAGAATTTGCTGCATCATAAGTCCATGTGAATTCTCTGATGGCAGTTCGGTGGTCTGTATGACAGAGTTCATGGACTTTGGACTAGTGAAGCTCCAGACTTCGCAAGTCCTAGATCATAGCTCCTAATCTTCAAGAATGTGACTGTTTACAAGAAACAAACAAAAAAAAGTTTAGGGGAGCGGGATTAATATTGTTCCTGCTGAAGCTTGTTCTTGGCACTGATAACCTTGTTTACTTGCTCTCCGAAAAGATTGGCGTCCCCAGTTCCAGGAGTGTGCTTCCAGCAGCTGTCCCCAAATGATTAATGCAAGCAGGCAGACAAACCTTGGCTCATTTCTAAATTGGAGAACTACCTGCAAATTAATATACTAGCCTAACCTCCTTTGAGTGGGATTGATGAAGATTTCCTCAAATTGATGTCCATCTGACATCACTGAGGGGCTAAGGCTGTACTTAACTCTAAATTGTACCTATGACAGGGCTGGTTCAATGACCTGTTTGTTTAACTTAGTCAACAAACCCTGATTTCCAAATAATACTCCTCAAAACACTCTTCAGAGCAGACTTGGAAAGCACCCCCTGCTTTCTTCCCTGCCACGAGAGCAAACCAAGTGTCAGAAATGAAGAATTTCAGTGAAGGGATCTACTGATTGGTTCTGCCTGTGCAGTGTTTTCAATCAGACTCCAAAGTTTGCCTTTTCTAAAACCCATATCTCCCAATTTTGCAAGAGAGAGCTCAATAAATTATTTTAAAAGAAAAAAATATTCGTTCTCTTTGCCTCAGTAATTCCATTCCTAGTGCTTTATAAACTGTCTTCTTTTCCTTTTCCATGCTAGAAGGAGGGAAGGCAGGCAGGAAGGAAGATGTTCCACATATAAATGTGCTTCAGACAATACAGGGATTAGTTAAGTAAATTGTAGTATATCAATTTGAGGGACTATTACAAAATTATAATTATAAACAGTATACAACAATGTAAAAATGCTGATGTTTATGTGAAAAACAAAATACAACAATACATCTACACTATGTATTGTAAACTAGCAAGAAATATGGAAAATCAAAAGTTGATATTTGGTAACTATGGAATCCTGACAGCTTTTATTTCTTTTCAAAATTTCTATTGATGCTATTCCGATACAGTCGTGCATTCAAAAAGAAACATCTTTTTTGCAACTGTTTAAATGCTCTTATAAGTATAATCTAACAGTAAAGTATACTCTAAAGAGTATAAACTCATTCTATTCTGTGAAGACTTGAAGCTTCTTAAAGATTATATATATATATAATTTTTAATATTTATAACATGGGTAGAATATATATATCATTATCCCTTGTTTGATAGATGAAGGCTCAGAGGTGCTGGGACATGAATGGTTTAACCAAGGTTGTATCATTTATCAATGACAAGCAGGAGTAGGAGGAAGAACACCGTAAATCCCTGAGGGCTGAAATGAAATCCAACTCACAACCTATACTCGAGTTTTCAAAGAGCCCAGTAGACTATCACAGTTGGCGAACACTGATTTTTTTAAGCTCAGGGATTTGTATAGTACAAGGGACTGATAGCCAGTCTTCCTGACTCCAGCCTCAACTTTGTCTAATTCATACAACTTTGAGAGGAATCTTGAACTAGAGCTTTCATGCTGTCACGCCCCTACTCTAGAACCAATAGTGACTAAAAGTCAATAGCTCAGACTCTAGGTGCTGGCATTCAGGGTCATCCATAACTCCAGTCTACTTCAGCTAACCTTTTTGCTGAGAACTACCTGCAGTGTATCTCTCTCCCTTCTAGTCCAGCCAAATTCTAGTACTTTCTGTACAGTTGATAATTCCCTGCAAGAGTTCTTAAATTTTGTATTTTCATTTTCATGTTAAAATCTAAAAAAATGTATATTTTTAAAAGTCTGCTTTCTTTGGGTGACCCCTGATCACTGAGTGCTGACATTCACCATCAGTGCCTGGATTCTTCTATGTACTTAGGATCACATCGGCATCAAGGAGAACATCTTCCATTGTAATGGGCTGATGTGCTAAGAACAGAGACAGGACCAGAAAATAATGATGACATGTTAGCACTGTGTAAAGGCCAGACATCTCTGTGCACTACAGAAGCAAAGGTTTCCTGGTAGTTGGGACAGAGCAGTGTAGCAGGAGAGCTGAGTCATCACATGGCACGCATGTATCAATCTGCCAAAAGCTTGCACCGTGGCATCCACCTTTCAGTGATGTAGGCATCAGTTTGGCTACTGTGAAGCATCATCTGTCCAAAAAAAAAAAAAAAATTAACCTATTGAAACCAAATATTACTGGTTTAGGAGTCTTGCTAATTGTAAATTTTCTTTGGTTTATAAGTGCTCTAATGCCTTTGGTTATTGTTCCAGTTTCTACGGGTGAGTAACATTTGAATTTAGTGGCTTAAAATAACAACATCTTATTATTCTCTGTCAGGGCTCTAGAAGTTGACTAGGCTCAGCTAGGCAGATCTCGCTCAGGACCTCTCACAGTTACCGTTGGCTGGTGGCTGGGGCTGGAATTATCCGGAGGCTCGCTCACATACCTGATGCCAGAGCTGGGGAGATTTCAGCAGCTGAAGCTCCGTGGGCATGTATCTCTAACTCTGTATGATCTCCCCACATGGTCCCATAGTAGCTTCAAGGTAGCCTTACTTCTTATAAGGTAGCTCAGGGCCCTAAAGGGGATAGACAGACTGACAGAAAATAGAGGGAATGACACACTGTCTCACATTTTATAATTTAGTAGCAGATGTCACCCAATCTCCCTTCCACCACATTCTACTCATTAGAAGTGAGGCACCAGGATCAGCTCACATGTGAGGGGAGGAGGATTAGACACTACTTTTATGGATGAAGTGTCCGGATTCACCACAGTTACACAGTTCCCTTCTCTTCCTATTTGCTTATCCAGATCCTGTCCTCCTTTGCAATCAGATTAAGAATTCCCCTGAAGACATCTCAGGTTGCTCCCTAAGTATTTCTCCTTTAATAAAAATCTCACAGCCTGTTGTCTGTACCATAGAGGTAAACCTTTAATTGTTCTGCCTCATGTTTTATTTCTGATGATGGAACAAAAATTGTAACAGACATTATGCATATATCATCTAACTGAATAAAGTCCCCGCACCAGTTCTGTAAGGGATGTCTATTAACCCCATTTTATAGATGAGTTCATTGCCCAAGGTCACTTCAGCTCTGCTGGGTCTATTTGACTTCTGAGCCTTTTCTCTTAAGCACTATGCTATGTGCTACTTCCTGTAATTTAAGTCGTATTTGTGGAATATGACTGGGGGGCATAAAGGCAAAAAAAAAAAAAAAAAACCAGGAAAGGGTAAGGGAACCCATAAAAGAGATATACGAAGGCAGTGATGTCGGAGGAATGACCACAGTGACTGCTTCAGAGGCACCCTGGCACCCTGGTCAGCCACTTCCCCCTCACAGCCATGCCAGTCTCTCCCCCTTTGAACTAGCAATCATAAAACGTGCAGACATCTACAGTGACATTTGGAGGACAAAAGCACTTTGCAAATGTAAATGCAAAATATGCAGAGTAACCATTCAGTGATGAAAGGTGAGTGGAGAAGCTGAACTCTCTGGCTAAAGTGACTACCACTGATTTATTGCTAAGTTCAGGCAGACCATAAACCCAACACCCATTCCAGTGCACACACAATATGGCCTATCACTCATCACATTTGGTACAATCAATTTAATGTCCTCATTTAAATATCCCTCTGAAAGTGGATCTCTGAAAATGGGACAGATTTGCAGTGTTATCCTCAGCAAATGAATTCCCATAATATGCAGGACCATTTCTGGAGGTTTGCAACTATTTAAATAAGAACTGATAAATAAATTCCATATGAATTCATCGCTGCTAGAATGCTTTACATCACCAGGGGTACTGCACATTTGCTTTTCATTAACCTAATGAGCAGAATTCAATAGTCAAACAGGACTTGGAAAGTGCCTGCCAATTAGGTGAGGCACCAGAACTCTTCCACTTGGAATCTGAGGCCAATCCATTAGTAAGATTGCACAATGATGAAAATGTATTTAAGTGTCTGGTTATGTCTCCAGTTATATTTATGACATGTGAACTGGGTTGTCCTGCCAGAAATCTGAGAGCTGGTCAGTTTGTGACTGCCCAGGGAGCTAAATTTAAAAGTGATTTTTTAACCAAAATTATTAAGAGAGACCAAGAGGGGTAAAGTAAAATTAAATTGAGGACTGAAGAAATACAGTATAATGGCTGAGAGGGCAACTTTTGGGGCATCTCTTTCTGCCACTGACTAAGCATATGACCTGGAACATCTTAACAATACTTCTCTAAACCCGAGTCTCCTCATTGGAAAATTAAAGATAATAATAACAGAGTTGTTTTCAAAATTAAATGAGAATGTCTGTAAAAGTGCTTAGAACAGTGCCAACTCACAAAATAAATGTTCAATAAATTATTGTTAATACCATTATCCGGGAATAAATAAAAATGACATTTCTTCTATCTTCGCTTGGCAACAAGGAGTTTATTTAACAAAAACCCCTCTAAGACTCTGATGCAAAGCCATGGTCTACTTCTCCAGACAAGTGTGTGTACACGCTTGAAATTTTGCAATTTCAGAGGTTCACGGACTTCCTGGAGTCTAAAGAACTCTGGCCTCCTCTATCTTCCCATTCTCTCTTACTGTCATTTTCAAGTTGTGTGGCTATCCAGATTTTACAACTATTTAATTAGTTATCTTTAATGCCAGCTTCTGGAAGTAAGAAAAACCACCACTAAAACTGTCAGTGTTTATATTTAAGATTTGAGAAAATTTAAGATCAAGGTAATCACTCAATTAAAAAAATTATAGGCAACTCAACAATAGGAAAACAAACCACATGATTGAAAAATGAGCCAAAGACCTTAAATAGACACCTCACCAAAGAAGACCTAAAGATGGCAAATAAGCATATAAAAAGATGCTCCACATCATATGGCATCAGAAAATACAAAATAAAAAACAATGAGCTACTACTACACACCTATTGGAACAGCCAAAATCCAGAATACTGACAAGGATGTGGAGCAACAGGAATGCTCAGTGATGGCTGGTGGGAATACAAAGTGGTACAGCTACTTTGGAAGAGAGTTTGGCAATTTCTTACAAAACTCTTTCAGTACTCTTACCATATGATCCAGCAATCACATTCATTGGTATTTACCCAAAGGAGCTGTAAATTTATGTCCACAGATGAACCTACACACGGATATTTATAGCAGCTTATTCATGATTGCCAAAACCCAGAAGCAACCAAGATGCCCTCTGGTAGGTGAATGGATAAATAACCTGTGATACATTGAGACAATGGAATAGTATTTAGTGCTAAAAGGAAATGAACCATCAAACCATGAAAAGACATGAAGGAAACTTAAATGCATATTACTAGGGAAAGAAGCCAGCCTGAAAAGGCTATATACTGTAGGGTTCCAACTGTACGTCTTCTGGGAAGTGTAAAATTATGGAAACAATAAAAAGATTAATGGTTTCCAGGGGTTAGGGAGGAGAGAGGTGTGACTAGGCAGAGCACAGAGGATTTTTAGGGCAGGGAAACCACTCTATGTGACACATAGAGTAATGGTGATTGCACATCATTATACATTTATCCAAGCCCATAGAATGTACAATGCCAACTACACTATGGAAAACCTTGGACTTTGGGTTATAATGATGTGACAGTGTAGCATCATCAATTATAACCAATCTAGCACTCTGGTGGAGGATGTTGCTAATGGGGGAGGCCAAGTATGAATAGGTGAGGGGAGAACATGGGAAGTCTCTGTACCTTCCACTCAATTTTGCTATGAACCTAAAACTTCTGTAAGAAGTAAAGCCTATTTTTAAAAAAATTACAGGCTGTTTAAAGCTCATTAGCCCTTTTCCAAAAGAGTGATTCTAAGTTGATGGTATAGAACTCAGAACATACTAGCTCTTAGTAACTGTATTTAAAATGACAGTTCCATTACCAGGACAGTGCTCAGAACATGTTTAGCCTATGAGGTTGGTACTGAACTCATTATCTTTAACAAACCTAATATTCATCCTGCATTTCCCATCTCGAATTTTTGGGTCTATCATTAATTTACTTACCCATTCAGAAATTGTACTAGGCCCTGGCAAGGTATAAAAGAACAAATCAGACCCCACCCTCAGAAGCTTAAACTCTACAGGAGAAAGATAGCTAAACAAAGAAAGGATGGGGGGGGGGCGCTGTAATGAAAATATATACCAAGTGTAGGGTAGTGGGATAAATTGCATAATTTTTCCCTGGTGTTCAAACTGTCTGTCCTTCTCTAAAAGGAGTAAAATTGCTACATCACTGATGTTGGGCTTGGCCATGCAGCTTGCTTTAGCCGAATTTTTTTTTTTTTAATCTTTGATACATTTTATTACATATTGTATAGTACAGGCTTCATAGAATGTTTCCCAATGTTCTCTACTAAATACATTGCTGAATGAAGCATTGCAAGATACCTGGAGGTCTCCCACATGAGTCTAACTTCTGTCAATACCCATAGAGTTACAAAAGAAATCTGCAAAAGACAGCAAAATGGAGGCGGCCAGTCACTGTGGCCAGCGGGGCTCTTGACTGCTGAACAATGACATTGTCTTCTCCAGGGGCTGATCCACGTCCATGGCTGACAACCCAGAAAAAGCTGGGACCCAAATTTGTACAGAGGTAAGGCCAAGTGGAGAGAAAACAACTCCAGACAACCTAGAAGTCTCCAGCCACTACTTCTTATTCCTGGGTTTTAGCCCTTCAGCTGCATACACAGGAAAATGTAATTTTTCTTTTGGGGATTACAGAATTCATGTCCTTTTGACCAGGCATCGCTAGAAGCATATGCAAATGTTTTCCCATAATGATTGAAGTAGCAAGCTGATATCGATTGATTTAACTGTTTCTGAAGTTTTTAGTTTTGTTCTGGCATTTTTGTCCCAAAAGCTGAATCTGTCATCAGATTCCACAGTCGCTGGGGTGCCAGGAACATGATGGAATGTGATTCCATTTACCGCGTAGATGTCCTAAAATGTGAGTGAGCATGATGTATGTCATAAGAGAGCAGAAGCTTTAAATGTAACCGTGTGTTTCAGATGGCCTCCAACTTGTACTTCTGATCTCTGCCATAAGAAAAGCATGCCCTAGGCAACAGCTGCTCCTTCAGTCTAGGTCCATAAGAAGAGTCATCTGTTGCAAACCCACAGTTAACCTACTGTCTGGTGCAGACCTACAGCTCATCTCCCTGCACTCACGTAAATAAGCAAGAGATGAATGTTTGTCATTCTAATTTGGAGTTGTTACTGCAGCAAAACCTGACTGATACTGGTGGGCTTAAAGGAGAGTATACCTATTTCTACCTGGGTATCTGAGAAGAGAGTATGACCAAAAAAAAAAGACTTTGAAAAGCTCAGGATGATAGTAGGTTTGGCATGGAGATTTGTACATGTTTTGGAGCAAGGTACAGAGATTAGGATATCTGGATTGGTAATGAAGGGCCTAGTATAGCATGCTAAAGGATTTGTACCATATTCTGTAACATGGGACCTTTGAAATAACTTTAAGCAGTGGAAGAAAAGGGGCCAAATTTTGCATTTCAAAAAATTATTGTACCGTGGTTGTGTGGAGAATGTATAGATATAACGTCAGTAAC